TCTGCAATAAATGCCTATGTAGCTTCTGTAAAATGTGTGTTTGATGGTTCCTTCAGCTTCTCATGGCCTGTTAGCAGAATGATATGTGAATGTGTTGGCACCTTTTCACAACAAAGCCCTAGAGCCCATTGCTCTTTTAGGAACTAAAAAGAACACAGTTAATTAAATAAAAATAGTTTATTGAATAAGAATTTTGAAGGGACTTACTTGAACACATTCAAAATTGAGATTTTAAGAGAACATAATTCAACATAATTACTTTTTGCTGACAGAGGTTTTACATATAATGAAGTGCCAAATCCTTTGGGCCATGTTCATGTTGGTACTAATTGAACTCAGTGGAGGCATATTAATTTATAGCAGGGTTGTTTTGCTGGTTTACACTAACCTAAGAGGGGCTCATCCAAATGCCTGAGAAGCTTTTGATAATATGTTCTTTCAGCTGAATGACTCAGTTGAGAAAAGCAGGCACACTCTGGGAAATAATAAGCTTTTTCAGGTATGCAATGAAATTGGAACTTATAAACACTTGAGATACCTCTTTTTCTTATCAGTTTGCCTAGCAAAGCAATGATCTCTCCCTGCAGAGTTTGCCTCTTATGCCCCTGATTTATCAGAGATATCCCAGACTTCTACAGGGAGGTTTCCTGTCTTGCAGGACATATCTGTGAATCAGCGTATTCTCTTCAGTTTATGTATGGCTAAGACTCCCACTGAGTGTCTATCTCCACCTCTCAGAGGCTCTGTGAGGCTATAAAGTTAGTGATCAAAAAGGCAGACACCTAGTTTGAGCTCATTGCCTGGACTCCTTTTGCAGAGGTGGGTGAGAGACAGGCACCTCCAGTGGGAGAATCATCCCATTGGCTGATGTGATGTGGATCTTAGCCTGGCACTGAAAAAAACCATGCTTTTATTGTTAGAAACCTTTCTTCTGAACAGAAGGGAATGAACCTGGAGTTGATTGTACCATATGCTTCTGAAGAATAAAAGATCTCATCTATGCTTTTGTGTATAAGCACACACACATATAAACAAATATCAAACAGAAAACTTTTCCAGGTGGTTTTAAGAGGTCTTCATAACAAAGCAGAGGGAGTGTGAAGAGTTAGTTCTAAGAGACTCTGAAATAACATATCCTCTTAATCTAAAATGTGTTTGAATTTACTAAAAATCGGCAACAAACTCAGCTCACAATTAGGAATCCTCACAGCCACTGGCTTGATTTATTTCCCTTAAAAACAAACAAACAAACAAACAAAACACCACCAACAAAGCAGCAGCTTTTCTATTTGGTAACTGTATTGTTTGAAATGTCAAGTCCAAATAATTGTCACGCTCCCCAAATCCCTGAAGCACAAATACCAATTAGCAGAACACAAGTGCTTCAGGCAAAGCTGTTCTTAAGGACATTCTCATCATCTTTCAAGCTGCAATTGCCTGTGAAGCATCACCAGAATAATTCACCTTAGATGAATCTCAGTATCCACTGTGCTGATGTAGATCCTCAGCAAAAGGAATAGGTGGTGAGGTCTCTTTTGAACACTGAACCTTGAGGAGGGAAAAACTTGCCCTTGCTACCTGTCAGTAGTATTGCTTAGTGGCAGAGACTTGTAGACCTGCTTCAAGAACTTTTTAAAACACCCCCAGTGTGTTTCCTGGCACAATGAAATTCTGACTCAGTAATAAACACACAGGTTGTATGGGATATTTCTAGTTTAGAAGAAGTAAACTCTTCTAGTTTACCTCTAGATGTTTTGAGTTTGATGAAAGGCCAGATACAGGAAGGCAGCAATCTCATTCCTGCCAGCCACTAGACCCATCTCAAGGAGTGGGAAATGTAACCTACTGGTTGCAAGTCAAAGGTTGAGAAACACTGCAGTGGCTCCACAAGGAGCTGTACAAGCAGTTTAAGTACTTAGAGGGGCCTACAGGAAAAATGGGGAAGGGACTCTATCAGGGATTGTAGTGATAGGATGAAGGGTAACAGTTTAACCACTGGAAGAGGGTAGATTTAGATTAGATAGTAGGAAAAAATTCTTTGCTGTGAGGGTGGTGAGACACAGGAACAGGTTTCCTAGAGAAGTTGTGGATTCCCTCTCCCTGGAAGTGTTCAAGGCCAGGTTGGATGGGACTTTGAGCAACCTGATCCAGTGGAAGGTGTCCCTGCCTATGGCAGGGGTATAGGAACTGGATGATCTTCAAGGTCCCTCCCAGCCCAACCCAATCCAACCCAACCCAACCCAACCCAACCCAACCCATTCTGTGATTGGCAGTAAGGAATCTTACTCCTTCTATTTTGTTTCTTCTGTCACAGAAATACATAACAGAAAAAGAAATGCAGTCGAGAGTTATAATTTAGGATCTCTCACAGAGGTGATTTTCCTCTGTCTGTAGTTAAAAGAAATGTGCACGTGGTCAGTGTTTGTATTCAAAGCCCCTTGACAAATGGAAGAACTAAAAGGAAAGCTTGCTTAGTTTAATGCTTGGGAAAAAAAGTCCTACCCCAAAGCACGAGAGTGAGTGTTCTGGAGGGGGGATGTTACATTAGAGAGCCAGAGAAGGACAGGGGGAAAGGAGACTGAGTGCAGAGCTGGGTCAGAGAGGAAATGGAGCAGAGGGTATGAAGCCAAGTCAGGAAGGAGTGGGAGGCCACAGGCAGAGTAAGAAGCATTTAGGGTTGCAAGCAGGAACCTCAAAGAGTGTATGATACAAAGAGCTGGTGAAGAAAAAAAAAAAGCAAGGAGGCTGTAGCAAGAGAAGAAGGGCTGACTGATGGAAACATCCAGACTGA